CCAACCCACCCTCCCCCCACCCTCCTGGTATTTCCACTCTCAGCACTGGTTCTGAAGGGATCATCTGCCGCCACAGAAGTTCCTTAGAGAAGATAATGAGGGACAATCTCTGCATGAGTGACTTTCAGGTTTGCTCACACAGCACAGCACCCCATGGAGGCTGATAATGTACAGAGGTATCTGTACAAGAGAATGCAACATGACCTAAAATCGGGAAAGAGGTGTGTCAGTGTTGAATCCTCTCAACATACTTCTTCATTCTGTCTACATTATCAGATACATTATCAGGTATCTGATAATGTACAGATACTTCAGAGGGTCTGGTTTTATTGGTTGGAGTTTGGCCTGGGCCTTGGGATCTTAGAAGCCGCCCAGTGATTGTCCTGCAGCCAGGGTTGAAAGCTAGTCCCCTAACATGTTGCATAATAGTATCCTTTAGAAATAGACTCTGCCATTCTATTCTTGTATCACTTCCTTTTCTCAATAGTCTGTTAAAATCTCTACCGTTGGATAGATTAGTGACACTATCTGTAGAATTACCTTATGCCCCAAGGTGATGATTACTAATGTTCTCTGTCATAAAATGATACTGAGGCCTGGAAAGTAGGCCAGAAGCACACGTAACCCACAGACAAGTGATGCCCACACGGTTAGGGAAGAGTGTGCTCTTAAAAATAGGAGGATGGCAGGCAGGCAGCCAGCACCCCACCGAGGCCCACTCCACAGCCCCCAAAGGTGAGCAAATGCCCTCAATGAGAGCCCCGTACCCAGCGCACGATAGATAAACTTCTCTTCTGCCTGCCTGCCTGCCTGCCACTCTCTTCTCTTCTCACTCGGGCTGCCTCAGATTTTCCCTCGCAGGGATTTCACTGTTTGGAAAGACAAACTTTACCCTGAAAGGAGACTTGGCAGACAGTGAAGCGTCTGGTCAGGTCAAGGATGACCAAGACAGGCAATCCACAGGGAGAGCTGCTGAGGCTGGACTGGGCCACCAAGGCCTCTTGGTGGGGCTGGCCTTGGGCACTGGGCCCAGCGGGTGGCTTAACAACTGGACAGGCCTGGTTGGTGGCAGAGGAGACTCTGGGCTGAGTGAAGGTGCTAGAGAGTGGGAGGAAACGCAGTCAAATGGAGCAAACCAGGACCGCCTCCGCGTTTGGAGTTTTCGTCCCCTTCAACAAGTGGTTGTTGTTTGAATTGTCCAGAATGCCCGAATCCCTAGATGGGAAGCTGTCAGGCCTGGAGGAGGGGGAAGAGGGAGAGTGACTACCTGATGGTTGTGGATTTTCCTCTGGGGGGTGGGAGGGTGGTGAAAATGCTTGTGGAACTGGATAGTGGTGATGCTGAAGGCCCTGAGCTGTGTACTTTAAACCGGTTCGTCTTATGTTCTAAGTTTCACCTCCGGTACAAAAACACAACAAATTGACTGTGGTAACGATGGTACAACACTTCTTGATCTGATTAAACCATTGAATTGTATGCCATTTGGATTTTGTCCCACTAAAACGGTTTCTTAAAAAAAAAAATGTTAAATACAACAACCAGTCCTTGAGCACCTGGGCTAGTTCCTTGGGAGGGGAAATAAGGATGAAGGAAGTGGCAGTCTGATCAGAGTTGGGAGCACGCGGAAATGATGGCGCAGTGGATTGTGTATGTGAGAAGACACATCCTCCCCTGGAGGGGGTTAAGGGAGTGATTCATGGAAGAGGCTGCAATTGAGCTGGGCTGTTGAGTGAGTGAGCTTTCTTGACCCGTGGAATTGATTGGGGCGGGAAGATATGGTCTGAGAGGCGATACCAGAACCAAGCCCGCTGCCGTGGAGTTGATTCTGACCTATGGAGACCCTGTAAGACATTAGAGTACAACTGCTCCCAGGATTTCCAAGGCTGTGAATATGTGTGGAAGCAGATTGCTTAACTGTTGCCCTGCAGAGCGGCTCGTGGGCCTCAACCACTGACCATTGTCTAGCCACCTGCCACTAAGGATCCTCTGGGAAAGGGAATAAGCAAACCCTTCAAAGAAGTGATTGGGAAATATTTTGGCCAAAAAAGAAATGTAGATAGTTGTGCTAGAAAGGTAGGTTGGGCAAAAAAGGTTTTAGGGTAGGGATAGGGAAGTCCTGCGTGTGTATGTGTGTGTGTGTGTGTGTGTGTTGCTTTTCAAGTTGACTGACTCATGGTGGCCCTTTGTATTTCAGAGTAAAACTATACTATACTGTTTTCAATGGCTGGTCTTTTGGGAAGTCGGTTGTCAGGCTGGGGCTGGTACTGAAATGATGGGCTAAAACACTGGCAAATGGTAGAATTGTCATTTGAACCCAGGTGGTCCGTTCTGGAGCCCAAGCTGTGAATCCCCTTCATGCTTTATAATTTCCACCCCCAGCAGGTGGAACCGCTGGCCATTAATAGCCAAAGTGACCCAGTGACCCCCTGGGTCTTTTCACAGCACACCTGGGGTTTAAAGGCAGCTTTTGAAATAAACAAGCTGGTAGTGTGGGCAACGTGGCTTGCCCTGTGACCCACAATAGAAGCAATGTGAAAGCAGCAGCCAGCGTTCTGTTTCTGAAGCTGAGGCGTACATTCTCAATGTGCAGTCAAAGAACTGGGAGCCCTCAGCCCCACACCTGTGATCCCTGTTTCTCCTCACTTCCATCTTGCACAATTCCGGGGGCACAGAACTTGATCAATACCCAAAGGAGTGAGGATGCATACCCTTAGCTTGGGAGGTCTGAGACTGCCAAGCAGAGCTTGTTTTTTTTCCCTCTGCAGTGAATCCAAGTTAGCTTTCTTCCTGGCCCAGCATTGTTTCTGGTGATGGTTTGCTTGTGTTTGGGGCAGCTATTGGCAGGGACGTGGTTAAAAATGGAGTAAAAATGGGTATTGACTTGGCAGTAGGCACAAGGCTTGGGAAGGACTGTGGGTTTGGGGTGTAAACGGGGTGGAGGGCTGGGTCCTTCCTTGTTCTTGTGACCAAGAACTTAAACCGGGACTGTTTTTCCTTTGTTTTACAGGTCACAGCCAAGACTGCCTTCCTATTTATTTTACCTCAGTATAATGTTAGCATGCCTACAGCAGGTAAGAAGCACGCCTTCCCCGGCCCTGTACCTGGGGTCCTGTACCTGGAGGACTTGGGGCACTCCCTGCCACAGTCAGATAACAGTGGTGCTGGGTCAGCAGTCAAGAGCACCACCTGGCTCCCCAGCTGTGACAGTTAAGGGGAATCCCGTGGGGGGCTTGGTGTGGCTCTCATGCTTTCCCCTAAAGCATCTAGTGGTGACTTCTGTCGGAAGCAGGACCTGAGGCACCAGGGCCATCCTCCATTTAGGAATGTGCCTTCCCGTTGGAAGTTCTGATGAGGAGAATGGGCAGGAGGTTGCCTTTTGATGGTGCCAAAAGATGTCATGTTGGTTCATACTTATCACCCTCTTAACCCACTGCCACTGAGTCCTTTCTAACTCATAGCATAGTCGGGTTTTTGAGACTGTAAGTCTTTCCAGGAGCAGATTGCCTCCCCTTTCTCCTGAGAAGCAGCTAGTGGATTTGAACTGCCGACCTTGCAGTTAGCAGTCCAGTGCCTACTCAACATCATCATCAGGTCTCCCTAATTACCCATGTTGAGTAATTTTTTTGTTACTGTAAAATGCACCTATTCCTCACTTAGCACCTCTCTTAGTATCCAACATTTTGTTTTTACCACTCTAATAAAAAACGGACTCTCATTTGCACCTTAACAACTTACACCTAGCAGTATTGAACGGTGCAAGGTGAGAGTACTAAGAGTGATGGTTAAGGTGCTGTGTCAACTTGGCTCAGCCATGGTTCTTGTGGTTTCACAGTTGGGTAATGATGTAATTTGGCAGTTTTATGATGATGTAGTCATCCTCCGTTTTGTGATAGATTTATAGCCTCCGTTTTTCACATAAGGCCAATTGTCATGTAATGAACTGATCTTTGGAACGTAATCATATCAGTAGGTGAGGAATAGATAGGTTTGTTTTTTTTTTAACTTTAATGTCAGAATGCCAGTTGATTAGTTTACAGAGAAGTAACTAGTTATTTAATATTGTGCTGTTTATCTGCAAAGTCAATTTATATGGATGCCATATTATAGTCTTGAGCCCTACTGCCTTTATAGTTCATTGGGAGAAATGATTGTCCTAGGAAGCATACGAGTCAGCCATCCTCTCATTATAGAAAGGGCCTGTTTGGGAAGCCAGACCATGAGTCTGAAGTCATTCCCAGAGAAATTAGCAGACAGATGGCATGATAGCACCTCTAGCTCTTTTGGGCTGAGAAGCACGCACTTCATGCTACAGTGCCCAACTCGAGAGTCTTACATGGGAGTACTGAGCTTGTGCCACTATTGACCATATTGTGCCCTGTTGTTAACTGCTGTCAAGGTGTCCCTGGTCCATGGAAACCCCATGCAAAATGGAACTGAATGCTACCCAGTCGTGCGCCATCCCCAAGATCCGTAAAGGATGAGATCATTATAATCTCCAGGGCTGTTCTTTGGCTGGTTTTTAGACGCAGGTTAAGCCATTTGTCCTACTCTGTCTTAGTCTGGAAAGTCTGCTGAATCCAATGGGGCAGTGCAGCTTCATGTCAGCCTCACCTCCACTGACAGACTAGGGTGTGATTGTGCATGAGACATATTGGCCGAGAACCAAACCCAGTCTCCTGAATCAAAAGGAACCGCCAATGCCTCTAGTTGGTTTTAAGCAGTCAGTCAGTCCAGGAAAACATTTGTCTAACAGCTAGGCCAGACCCTGTGTAGAATTTACAAAACGTATAAGATCTCTGACTCCCTGGGGCTTACCATTTATTGGGGAAGGATAGAAAATAAATAATTATAGCTGTCACAAGGGTGTGTCCTAAGCCTAGTTGTACATGCATGCTATGTGATATGGATAATCAGAGGGTGATGGAGATGCTTCTGAAAATCTGGCATGTGAGCAGTGTGTGTGCAAGTGCAGTAGGGAGCTCCTGACATCGGGGTCAGTGAGTGCAGAAGCCCTCAAGGGAGACGAAAACGTCTCAGAAGGTTCCAGTGAACCAAGGAAGGCAGCAGGCCTGGAGCCAGGTGGGTGTGGCATTTTCCTAGGGCTGGGCTATTGAATTCTCCTAGAACCTCCTTCTCTGGACCCAGAGCATAAGGCTATGGGCAAAGGTACATGAAAACTCATGCTGAATTGAGGGGCTTTCAAAGAGCGAAGTGTTGTTAAAAGAGCTGATGTTGTCTGTAAATGGTGGCATTTGGAGCTCTTTGAAACACAACAAGCAAATAATTAAAGCGAAACAATGGAAGCGCAGTAGCCTGCTTCCTTTGGTTTTGAGCTCTTTTAATCACCATCCCTGTGTGGTAATATTTGGTTTGTAAGGATTCGAGAAAGCACATTTCTCATGGGGGGAAAAAAAAAGCACTTCACAATAATGGGGCTGTCAGGTGGTAATTTTTGGTAATTTTTTAAACCTTCCTCCCAAATATTCTTAGGGCCAGAAGTGCTTGGAATGGATCCTTCTTTTTGGGTAATTTGCATCAATTCTGACATGTAAACTATCTTTAAATCACGTATAACCTGCTCAGATCAACTGTCAAGAATTTGCATGTTAGTAGAACACTACAAAGCCGTCTGTTGTGTCTCAAGCCCTGCGGTGGTTTCCAATAACACTCGTGGTTTTCAATAACAGTCATGCTGATAAGTCTTTTCCTTGACTTTTCTTGCCCTTGACTTTTACCCTAACTCATCTCCTTCCTTGCTCCTGGCTTGATTACCTAGTGCTGCTTTAAAAGAAATACCATTGAGCTGATGCCTCTAAGGAGCAGGAAATGGTTTTCTCTCGGTTCAGGGGCTAGAGATCTAAATCCAGGCCTCGAGATGGGCCCTGGAAGCAGTGCCTCTCCCCTCTGCTCTCTCAGAAGCAGGGTCCTGCCTCTTTCAGCTTCTGAGCCTGGCATGCCTCAGTTTCTTGGCCATCTTCACAGACCATTGCCTTACCCATTTGTGCTTGCCTGTGTGACCAAACTGCCCTTTACATAACCCAGAAGGGGTTAGGTTTAGGACCCATGCTAACTGATATGACCCCATTCACATAACAGAGAAAACTATATACCCAAACAAGTGTGCAGGGATAGGGATTTGGATCCCATCACCTATCTGGAGGGGCCGCACAATTCAATCCATAACAGCTTCCTGCTACATGATGTCATCACACTGTCAGCTAGCTACAGAAGCGAAGCTCCATTCAGGGAGGTGGGAAAAGAGACGAGGAGCACAGTAGAGTCAATGAGAAGTTGGCGCATGCTCTTGCCGTGCTGGTGTCCTTGTGGTTTCTTCAAGGTTATCAGGGATAAAGTAGGAAATGCCCCTTGATACCAAACTCAGTAAAGTACAAAACAAACCAAAGAGCCAATGACATGAATTTCAAATAAACAATGAATAACTCACATAGAGAGTTACAGTCTCAGAAACCTACATGGGCAGTTCTACCCTGTTGTAGAGGGTTGCTATGAATTTGCATCTACTCAAGGGCAGTGAGTGAGTGCATGAATTTTCTGCCATAACACTATCCCCAATATTGCTTGGGATGACATCATAACAGTTATTATTCATTGTCTGTCTGAAATTCAGATTTACCTGGTTGGCCTCTATTTCATCTGGAAATATATACCCAGCCTAGCTCTGGCAAAGAGTGAAATATCAGGTGTCTGGACCTTGCATTAGACACCATAAGTCTTCTTTCTGATTAAAATACCACAACACATCTGGTCGGAAACCCAGAGACCGTGAAAAGATCAGAAGAGACCAGACCTGTGATTCATCCCATAGGCAGACTCAAGGTCCACTGGCTTCCCTTCCGAACTGCACCAGCTGGCCACCAAGAGCCGAGCATCTCCATGGTTGGTTTGGAGTTGCGTCCATTTGCTAACTTGTCTTGGGCAAGCCACTCCATCCCATGAGACCCACAGACCCTGACGGGAGGAAGCCTTAGAGGTCCTTTAAATGCTTGCTACTCACACTGTCCACAGATCAGCTGGTAGAAATCTGGACTGGCAAGGCACAGCCTCCAGCCCCAGCCTAGCCTCCTATATCACCACCTGCATCTTAGCCAGCTTTTCTGAGAAGCATATGGGGAAGGCTTCAGTTAGGCTTTCAATGATACGGTGCTTCGGACCTCTGAGGTAATACAGCCAAATAAGCCAACTTGATCCAGGGACCCATTTGCCTCCTGTTCTTTGCCAAGTGTGGTTTTCCGAAGACCATTTGGATTGGGGGCGTGGGGGGGAGCAGGAAATATCACTGGGTGGACTTGGTTTCCAGCTGGAGCTGCAGCTCCCTGGGCCTTCAGAGACATCTCTGTACGGTCTCGTGGTTGGGATCGCTTTGACTTCCTCCTAGGGAACAACGCTCGAAGCTTGAGTGAGCTCTTAAAGTAAGGTGACCAGACGTCCCGCTTTTGGCGGGACAGTCCTGATTTCTAACAATTTTTCTCCGCGTCCCGCGGCGTTTTTAAAAAGTCCCAATTTTTGGAAAGAATGCACAAGCTGGAGTATACGGTTTTCATCTGCCATGTGGCTATTTCGCCAGGATATGAGTTTTATCAATGGTGTCCCGCTTTTGTCCCGCTTTACCAATGTTAAAATCTGGTCACCTTATCTTAAAGACAAGGTTTATTTTGCAGTAACCAAAGGTTGCTGTGACCCACCCCCCTCCACCCTCCCTCCTTGGCTCCCCCTGGTCTTAGCTCCCGTCTGCTGTGCAGGGTTTTGCAGGTGGAGATGAAAAGCCCCAGCCCTCCTATATCACAGTTTAGCCATTGTTCTCACAGCCCTTGTCGGATGCCACAACTGCTTGGGAAAATCACCTCAGACAAGATTGTTTTAAAGCCTCATTCAGCCAAAGAAGGGCCTTTGTCCAGGCCCTGGGTGCTCTCATTCCCTTGGCTTATATCATATACTTGAAAGATTGGCATTACATAGAAATGGAGCCCCTCCTTGTAAATGAGCTCGTGGGGGACAAGTAGGGCAGAGGCCGGTGCGCAGCAGTAGCCCTGGTTACAGAGGAGAACTGGCC